GACTGGCTGGAAGGGACAGACTTATGAGAGAGAAGAGCTCTTTCCATTTCCAAAATGCAAGGGGGAAACATATTTTTGACAGCTTTAAATTTACCAGAACACTCCCTCAATATGTCTTATAGTAGCATTTCCCATCACTTGGCCTCACTGGGAAGAATTTACATGTATTCACAGTAATGTTTACTGCTTTGCAGCTACTCACACAAGCAAATGACATGCAGCCACCACCACGGAGAGTAATTAGGCTGCTGAACCGGTCTGCACCTGCATGCCTGTCCAGGGCTGTCACGGGAGGATGTGCACCCTGTGGAGCCACACTGCCCTCACTTGTGACTGAGCAGCCCTCAAAGAATGGATGGTTTTATGATCTCAGGCCAATACTAAGGGTCAGAAGGGATCTTAAAGGTTACCTAGTCACAGCCTCCCTGCCATGGCCATGGCCACCTTCCACTAGATCAGTTTGCTCATAGCATTATCCAACCCAGCTTTCAACACTGCCAAGGCTGGGACATTCACACCTCATCTGAGCAACCCATTCCAGTGCCTCACCACCCTCACACTAAAAAAATTTACTCCTAATGTCTAACCTGTATTTCCCTTCTTTCAGCTTGTACCCATTACTCCTTGTCCTAGCACTGCAGCTCCTGACAGAGGCCCTCTGTGCCTTCCCTCTAGGTCCCATTCAGATACTGGAAGGTTGCAATGTCTCCACACAACCTTCTCTTTTCCAGGCTGGACAAACCCAACATTCTCAGCTCATCTTCACAGAGGAAGTGCTTCATTCCTCTTACCAACTTCATGGCCTCCCCTGGACTTTCTCCAACAGTTTCATATTCTTCTTATGGTGGGGACCTCAGAGCTGGACACAGCACTCCAGGTGAGGTCACACACTCCACACACACTCCTCTGCATTCCAAACACTCCAGGTGAGTGGAATACAGAGGCAGAATCACCTCCCTCGACCTTCTGCCCACACTGCTTTTGATGCAGACCACGATTCAAAGGATAGAGAAATCTCCTTTAAATCAGCACAAGCTCAACCTGTCAGAGGACCTTCCTGATTGAAGTATTAGGAGTCAGCTCCAAACTCAACACAACATGGAGCATATTCTTGGAGTGTAATTTTCCTATTGATCACCAGACCCAAACCAACTCCTTTGACCCTTTACTGGGTCTCAGGTTTCTAGGATTTCTCTTACCAGGATTTCTCAGACCAGAATGGTCTGTCAATCCCTGCTTGGGGCGAGAGCCTGTGCTCCCATGGAGAGGTGCTTCTCCGTGCAGAGGAACTTTGAATTTAAGTTCCTTACTTAATAACTCAAGTGATCAAGACTCCTACCTTAAATAGTCTCTGCCTCTCTGGCGTAAATAAGTGCATGACCTTAAAAAAAACCCCAATTCTTCGGCTTTTACAAGCTATGGTAGCCTCAAGCTTCACCCAGGACTCCCGCTGCAGCTTTAAGGGGGCTTTAAGGACCCCCGAGCTTCCGCGGTGAAGACGGGGCAGCTCTACAGACTGCAGCCAAGCCTGCTCCCCACTGCCCGCCCCAGCCCGTCCCCACCCTGCCAGGGAGCCCCTTAGTAACGCAGACCCCGGGCCGAGCCGGGCCTGCGCGGCCGGCCAGGAAACGGGAGTCGCCGCAGCGGGAGACTCCCACCACTGTACCCCGCCGTCCCGGCCCTGATGAGGGGAGAGGGGCCGAGGAGGACCCGCCCGGCCCCGCG